TCACCCTAAACCCTAAACCCCTAAGCCCTAAACCCCCAAGCCCTTAAAGCCACCTTAAACCCTAAAGCCACCCTAAGGAGGGCCTTGGGAGTCTTGAGGATCCAGGACCTCCAGGATCTTCACCTCGAAGAGGTAGCGCCCCGCCTTGAAGGTTTCGGGGTTTTGGGGGTTTAAGGGTTTTAGGGTTTGGGGTTTTAGGGGTTTTAAGGGTATAGGGGTTTTTAGGGGTTTTAGGGTTTGGGGTTTTAGGGTTTAGGGGGTTTAGGGTAGTTATAAGGTTCCTTTAAGGGCTCCTTTAAGGGGTCCTACAAGGGGTAATACTTGAAGGTTTCGGGGTTTTAGGGTTTTTTGGGGTTTTAGGGTTTGGGGTTTAGGGTTTGGGGTTTTAGGGTTTTAGGGGTTTAGGGCTTTGGGGGTTTAGGGCTTTGGGGTTTGGGGTGTTTTAGGGTTTTAGGGTTTAGGGGTTCGCCTTGAAGGTTTACTTGGAGGTTCATGGCTAGTTATAAGTGGAGTTATGGGGTTCCCTTAAGGGTTTCTTTTAAAGGGTTCTATAGGGATTTTAGGGTTTAGGGCTAGTTATAAGTGGAGTTATAAGTCCCCTAATCTAGGTTATAACTTTAGTTACCCTACTTACAACCCTACTTTTAACTACCCATGAACCTCCAAGTAGGGTTTCGGGTTTTAGGGTTTTAGGGGTTAGGGGTTTTAGGGCTTGGGTGTTTAAGGGCTTTGGGTTTTAGGGTTTTAGGGTTTTAAGGTTTATGGGGTTTAGGGATTAGGGCTTTATAAGGGTTTAGGGTTTGAGGGCATGGGGTTTAGGTTTTAGGGTTTAGGGCTTTGGGGTTTTGGGGTTTTGGGGTTTGGGGCTTTAGGGCTTTAGGGTTTAGGGCTCAAGGGTTTAGGGGTTTGAGTTTAGGGTTTAGGGCATAGGGTTTAGGGATCTATAGGGGCTCCTTTAAGGGCTCTTCAAGGGTTCTATAAGGGCTCTCTAAAGGGCTCTGCTTGGAGGTTCACGGGAGGGTAGTTGCAAGCTACAAGTCCCCCAGTACAGGTTGAACTATAGCCATGCTACTTGTAAACCTACTTAGGAGTGCCCGTGAACCTCCAAGTATGACCCCTTATACCCCTTATAGGCCCCCTTCAAGGAGCCCTTAAAGGGAGCCTACAAACTACCTCCTGGAATTTCGGTGGAATCTTACTGACTGATGCCGTCTGCCAGGGGATGTCCGGGTTTATTTCTGCTGCGCCTTGATGCCCACGTTCGCGCGAGCTCCGGCGAGGAGGTACCTGGGGTCGGGTTCGGGAGCCTTAACCCTAAACCCGAAACCCTAAACCCCAAACCCCACACCCTAAACCCCACACCTCAAACCCTAAACCCTAAACCCTAAACCCCAAACCCCAAACCCTAAACCCCACACCTCAAACCCAAAACCCCAAATCCCTGAACCCTAACCCCGAAACCCTACACCCCAAACCCTAAGCCCTGGGGTCGGGGTCGGGCGACAACGACGACTCTACAGCCCGAACTCTTGACCTGCTTCGAGGTTCCTGAGTAGTTGTACGTGGGTTCCTTTAAGGGTTTAGGGTTCAGG